CTTCCGCCTCAGCCTTCCAAGGAGCTGGAACTACAGGCGCGCACTACCACTCCCGGCTAAATTTTTTTGATTTATTGTAGAGATGAGGTCTCGCCAAATTGCCCAGGTAGGTCGCGAACCCATGGGCTCAGGCAATCCACTCACCTCAGCCTCCCAAAGCGCTGGGATTACAGGCTGAGCCACCGAGCCCGGCTTGTGTTGTGGTTTTAAACAGTTTTCAGGAGTGTTTGCCTTTGACTGAAGTAGGACCCTACCATCTGTTGGGTGAAATGGTATCCCTGTGCGGGGAGGCACACTGGGAAAGAGAAGTCCCCAGATAACTGACTGGGGGTTCCAGATTGGCTGGCCTCTAATCCAGAGCCAGCCCGGGGGATCCCTCTCAGGAATAGCCCGGACACCCACTTCTGCAACCCGAGAGGTTTTTGCATGAGGAATCTCTGACTCCAGAGAGCAGCACAGATTTGCAGTTGTCAGAGCAATTCGGACTACACTTAACCCAACACCACTTTCCAGAATCCAGGACCCTCTGAGTCCAGCAGGATGGGAAGCCAGTGTCCGCCCAGGTGCTGGGTCAGGTGTGGTAGTGAACAGCTTGGGGTATCCCGACAGCTGTGAGTAGCTGCGACTTCTGAACTGGGAAGGTTCATTTTGTTTCCTCAGGTTTTCTGGACAGTTGACTGAAGACTCTAACCCAGATTCGGGTTAGAATTTTTTTTTTTTTTTTTGAGTTGTAGTCTCACTCTGTCGCCCAGACTGTAGTGTAGTGGCCGCTCCCGGCCACCACAGCCTCGACCTGCTGGGCTCCGGCCATCCTTCCACCTCAGCCTTCCAAGTAGCTGGAACTACAGGCATGTGCTACCACGCCCGGCTGATTTTTTGATTTATTGTAGAGATGAGGTCTCGTCAAGTTGTCCAGGTGGGTCTCGAACCCATGGACTCAGGCGTTCCACTCACCTCAGTCTCCCAAAGTGCGGGATTACAGGCTGAGCCACAGAGCCGGCTGGGTTAGGATTAACATGACAATGGAAGTTTGGAAACAGTGGCTCATGCCTGTGTTCCCAGCTACTCAGAAGGCTGGGGTGGGAGGATCGCTTGAGTCAGGAGTTCAAGGCTGCAGTGAGCTATGATTATGTCACGGCACTCCAGCCTGGGTGACAGAGCAAGAGCCCCATCTCTACAAAATAAAAAAGTAGCCAGGCGTGGTGGCACCTGTAATCCTAGTGACTCAGGAGGCTGAGGCGAGAGGATAGCTTGGCATCAGGAGTTTGAGGCTGTGGTGAACTGTGTCCATACCGCGGCATTCCAGCCTGGGCAACAGAGCGAGATCTCCATCTCCACAAAAAATAAAAAATTAGCCAGGCATGGTGGCTCATACCTGTGATCCCAGCTACTCAGGAGACTGAGGTGGGAGGATGGCTTGAGGCCAGGAGTTTGAGGCTGCGGTGAGCTGTGATCATGCCACTGCCCTTCAGTCTGGGCAACAGAGTGAGATCCCCTTCTTTAACAAACAAACAAACAAACATGACCAAGGGAAACGAACGCAAAGATTGTGTTTTTCGCAGAGGGTCAGATGGTCATTCACACTTAGCACGTGCTATACCTGAGGCCCAGCTAAGCTTTAGGGATCAGATGAGAGTCAGTTGGAAAGATCATGTCTCTTTGAAAGGCAGCGACTTTCCTATGCTGGGACAGAATAGGACAGGACACCTACCAACCCAGGGTCGTCATCTGCCCGGGTCATTGCTGGAGTCATATGGTACACAGCATTAGCACAGCACACGCCTGGCAAGCTCCTGTCAGCCCTGGAGTCAGACGGTACCTGTGTGCTCCCAGAGGACTGAACTCCGGTCACTGCTCAAACCACATGGAGCGTGGTGTGACGCTAGTACACCATGCCCAGCTAATTTTTTGATTTATTGTAGAGACGAGGTCTCGCCATGTTGCTCAGGCTGGTCTTGAACTCCTGGTCTTAGGCAGTCCTCTCACCTCCACTTCCCAAAGTGCTGAGGTTACAGGCATGAGCCACCACACCCTTTCCAGAGCTTGTTCTTCACCTGAACGCTGCAGGAAGTCTCTTGCTTCTTTCCACTGAGTTCCGGAGTCTGGCTGCTTGGATTTGAATCCTGGTCTCTTATGGATTGGGGCTCAGGACTTGGTTTCTCTGAGGCTCCCCATCTGAGCCTGTGAATGGGCTGATGTGAGCACTTCTCACAGGGAGGCCATGAGGATGAATCGGGGTCCTGCTGGGTCCTAGAGGGCATTTCAGATAGTGGCACAGCATGTGCAAAGGTCCTGGGCAGAAGAAATGGTAGGTGAGAAAAGGGACTGGAGGCTGGAATACAAGAATGAGGGAGGGCGTGTGAGGCTGGGAAGATCCAGTGAGGCCAGATTTTTTTTTTTTTGAGTTGGAGTCTCACTCTGTCACCCAGACTGGAGTGCAGTGCCCGCTCCC